GGCTCCCACCAAGCCGGTTCCAACCTTCTTGGAGTTCTTGTCCAGTGATCCCACATTTCTTGGGTTTTCATAGTGATCCACCACCTTGAGATATGTAAAGAAAATGCGAGAACAATTCAACTGCTGCTTATTGTGTGATTTGATCTCTAATTGTATTTTGGGAGAAGAGTATCCCAGAGTACCACAAAGCATTCTGCCTCAGAATAAATGTCTGAACGTCATGAATGTTACGTAAATATCAGTTTCCTGGCTTTCTTACATAAGAGACTGAAGTACACAGACGTGGCTTGGATTAGATTTATCCACAAAACCATCATTGTCCCCCCATCACCTGTCCCCCCCTCCTATTTTTTGTTTCTGCTGAGTCACTCTGACCAACAAAATGTGAGGTCAGAGGTCATCTCAACTCAATGTGGTTTTAAATTGGAAACATAACGCTAATATGTTGAAAGAATTTACTTTACACTATTTTGACATATTTTTTCAAATATCAGTAATGTAGAGTTTTATGGCAATATTTAAACCTAGTCTCATTGACCGATTGCACAAAGTTACAACACCTTTAACTGGATTAAATGTGACTGATTATGGAAATAATAGTCAACCAATTTAGTAATCAATTAATCATTAACTGGAGTATACAGTAAATATGCTTCTTTTTTATTTAAAGAGGGAATTGAATTATTTGTCTATTTGCAACTTTTTAAGCATTTCTAATATTAGATATAAAAAAAGACAAAAAGGGTTCAATTAAAAAATTGTAGAAATTGCAATTTTTTATACAATTAATCAATTAATCATCAGAACAATCGATTTCTAAAACAGTTGCAGTCCCCTTCCTTCCCCCACTTTATTTTATATTTTAAAATACCCCTCTAATTCTGACTGACACATGGCCACTTCATTTTGCAAAATTGATCAAGTAAAAATGTGAATACATCTGCTGTTATGCAAATGAAACACAAGCCGTTGCTGACATTCAGCTGTTTCCAGCACAGGACACCGTGGACACTTAAGCATATTAATAGAATCTAATTACATTTAAAACTGTGGGCAGCTGGTTGGAGGATCAGTGACCTGATTCTAGTTTTAAACTTGCCAGCTGGATACTGTAAAACAATGAATAATGTACATTTCTCGGTTTCCTCCCCTGCTTCATAACATAACTCTGTTAGACACGCCTCCTGCTGCTCTGATGTAACTCAGGACATTTATCAGCCACATATGTAAGCTTCTTTCCTCCGGTTATCCCCGAGTTTCTCACAACGTTCAAGTAATTTTCTGAGCATGAAAAAGTTCTATAGTTGCGCCATTCTTTTATTAGCAACACGTCTATGCCGAGAGTAAACATATTGTAAACATTATCCCGCTTTGACGCTGTTTACCTTCTTGTGGTAGCAGCACTGAGTGACGAACTCAGGAGCCGAGAGCCTCCGAGTGAGCAAAGACAGAGGACTGAGACACTTCTTCACCACCATGTTGACCGCCATGTTGACCTAATGGCGCAGTTAACGTTACCGGACAGAAGACCGAGCAGCACCGAGGTGGAGCGGGGAGGACTTACGCAAACCGCGCATGCTCCGTTAATGTAAATCAGCCAGAGGATAAATACGGAGTCCTGTGGGGGCCAATTTTTACAGAAACTAAGTACTGCCATTACTTACGACGAAGTATTACGGCCATACCAAGAAAATAATAATAATAATACGAGAATGAAGTCATAAAACTGTATGAAAATAAAATCGAAATAATACGAGAATGCAGTCATAATGTGTATATAAAGTTATAATATTGTGAGTGACTTTTTTCTTGTAATAATCTGACTATATTTTTAGAATTGTCTTATAGTTTTTATTATATTTATTTTATTAATGCCCAAAACTATGGGGAAAAGATATCTGCACTCCACACTTTACAGAGCTTACACAGGTATAATGTTTGGTTTATGTTTTTACACGTATGTTTCCTTTGTCAAAATTTATTATGATTATGTCACTGATGTTTGTAGGACCACTTCCAGATCCCGACATTCTGGCATCAGGAGAAAAACTACGCCAGCTGGAGTCCCAACCACTTATCGCTCTTGTCCTAGATGGTCTTTCACATTTGGAGCTGGTTCCATCCAAATTTGGGCCTGTGCCACAGGGCTCACCAATGTCTTATTAGTGCCCACCAGAAAAGTCCTCTGGTAGCGTCATTCTGCACCACATGGCTCCAGACTTCCCTTTTCTTCCTTTGATGCTGCATGGTCTTCCAAATATGTGCTTTGTGCCCACACTTGGTCAACTTATGCATCTTCATTCTCTGCAAGTGTCACTGGAAATGTCTTATGAAATAGAAGCCAGAACAAGAGAGCAGTCCAGATGTCCTGCATGGGTACATCTTCGACAACCAAGACTGTCTGTCTGTCATCAATTCGGTCGTCATTCAGTCAGTTTTTTATTAGTAAGAATGAGTGCAGGAGTAAGGGCAGGGTTTGCCGAAGCCTGTAACTTGGTTTTAGATAAAAACTGAAAAAAGAAAACAAAGAGCTGTACTGTTTGACCTTTAGTTTGGACTGCGTAAACCAGAACCCACAATCCAGAGTACTGACTCATTTCATTTTGCTTTGATCACTTTTGAAATTTGAATTTTTTATTTTTTTTTTTTTTTTTTTTCTCTTCTCTTCGATTTTGGAATTAAGTTTTTGGGACAAATAGTCAATACATATACAATGTACTATCTTTTACCTGCGGGTGGATGTGCCGTGTAGTCATGGTCCGCAGTAGCATCTTCAGCCTGGCTAGCTTTCTGAGAGGACAAACTACCGTTTCTTAGCCCTCTCGAAAGCAGACTCTCTCATTACTGGTGCAGTGAAGTTATTCTAGGCAAACGGGGAAGGAACAGCTCCACTTTTAAGGCGGCTGGTGGTGGATCCGCTAACAAAATCCTCCGGTGTGAAGTGGCGGCTACATACAAAAGTGTTCCCCGTCTTTATGCAAAAGTCCGGACCTTCATCTCTTCAGATCGCCTGGATCCACTGCCTCCGTTGGTCCGGGTCCGTCGGGAACGCATGATATGACAGATAAGGCTGTTTTCTTGCCCCACATGAACAACCAGGGACTGAACAAAAATAACTGCGCCGAGACTGAGCCATTTTCCTAGCCTTTCAATGCTAACGCTATAGCCACCGGAAGTTGTCCAACCCCACATCCGCTTTCAAACTATTTCAAAAAATATATATGGGGGTTTTCTAAAGTTTTAAAAATGTAAAACAAATGATTAAATCCAAGATAAATACCTTCTAAGACACTGTTGTAAAAAAAATTACAAGTTTAGCTTCTCTTCAACTGAAAAAACAAAACAAAAACAAATGCAAGAAAAAAACAGGCAAAAAGTCAAAAAGTTTCAAATCAAAACAAATGTTACCTCCAAAAGTGGTATTTTCAAGCTGGAAAACCCGTATAATTTCTAATTGTGTATCAATGTATTTCTGTATTTTATGCATTCAAAGATTCAAATCTAGTTAAAAGAGGAAATGTTTCCTAGAAGTGGTTTTGTGATGTTATTGGCTGATCCTTTTTTATAGAAACTGTCAGAAGGTGCAGTTTTGTGACAATTTTTTTTTCATTATAGATTTGTTCAGTTTGATCTTTTTAATGTTTGAGCTCATCAAACAAAATTTCAGACAAAGACAGAATACTGTAATTTTTATAACAGAGTTGTCACCTGGTGCAAGTAGTTTTTCTGTTCACTGGATGATTTCTTTTTCCATTTGACCCAGGTTGGTTGGTTAGTGAAGCCTTCAGAACTTCCACGTTGCACGTTTGGTCATGCTTGTCTTGATCACGTTTTCTTTAGAGTGGACATTATCAGGACTTTTTCTTCCTCATTTTTGTTAAGATAATACTGAACATATTCTCTTACAATACTGTGAAATCAGCATTTCTGTGATCAACTGACCAGGAACCAGTAGTGCACCGTTCAGTTTGTTCCTCTTTGTTCAAAGATATCAAACCAATGAGTCAGTCTTTACTCTCCCTCTAGGGCCGACCTGAGAGTCTTGCAGGAGCCTTAGAACCCCTGCTGGGCTGCGACCCTGAGAGATCTCAACCAATTACATCAACTGCAAAACTTTGACAAATGGTAGGCTTCAAGTAAAGATAAATAAACTAAGGTATTCTCAGAATGCATACAACACATACATTGTCAAATTCAGGAAGTGGCCAAGATCAACAAATCTGTAATTTCTGTTGAAGGAGGAACTGATAGAATAGCAGGAACAGAGAAATAGAGGATGAGGTCTGCCACATCAGACAAGATTCAGGACGTGGGCTAAGCAAAGATGTCCTTGAAACAGTCAAAAACATAATACCTGGCCATGGCACACTGGCAGGCAAATCTTACATTGAACACCATAAACAAGTTGATAAAATAGTGGACAAGAATGTGGGACAGATTGGCAAGAATATTTAAGAATAATAAGGTTTAAGATTGTATGGGACATGCAGATTCTCTAATAATTGGGTAATGTGAATGTAGACAAATTAGAAAAGAGAACAACCATGGGAGATATTGCAATCATAGGAACATAGGAAGCTTGAGAAATACCAAAGGGTCAAAGAGGAACTGGAGAAGTAGGATTTGAGTGGTGACAGAGTTCATCAGAAAGTAAACAAAATTTTTTTTAAAAACCATGTGTTTTAATGTTTTGTTAAATAGTTTTTAATTTACAAATAGTTTTTGTAAAAACAAAAAACAATCAAAACCCGGTGTCATTTTCCTTCCATGTCAACTACTTGATACACTGCAATAATTTGTCTCAGAAACTTCCTAACATGAATGGCGGAATCACAAAATGTTCAAATGTTCGCGTGCGTTAACACTTTTGTGAGGTACTGAAGCTGCGTTCTGATATTTATCATTCTGATGGGGCGGCACACCTATTATCACTGTTTCCACCCTCCTTGTCGTAATCTCGAACCTGTTAAGCAACATGCTCAGAGAAAGGGAAGTGAGAAGTCATATTTAGCACAGAGAACTACGGAAGGGAGATGTTAAGGTCTGTTTTTACATCCACACAAGAAGTAAGTATTTAGCTTTATCTACTTTAGGCTACACTTTGGATTGCAGTTGTTTATTTTCAATGTTGTTTGTATGACCATGTTTATGAAGAATGTTTTATATATATATATATATATTTTTTAGGAAAACTCACAATGGAATTGGATTACGTTGAATACGATGATTACACTCCAAACAATGAAACTAAAAACGTCCTACAACCATCAGACGGCTCTCAAGTCTCCCTGACTCTTGTTCTTGCAGTGGTCAACATCTTCATATCATTTCTTGGTCTGATAGGGAACGCTGTAGTGGTATGGATCTGTGGGTGTAAAATGAAAAGAACGGTCATCACCACCTGGTACATCAGCCTGGCTCTTTCGGACTTGTTTTTTTGTATCTTTTTGCCCTTTGAAGTTTTTTACGTTCTGACCTCAAACTGGCCTTTTGGCCAGGTTTTGTGCAAGTTCACCTCCTCTGCTTTGTTTCTCAACATGTACAGTAGTGTGTTCCTCTTGGTCTTAATCAGCGCTGACCGTTGTGTCCTTGTTTTGTTTCCTGTGTGGGCGAACAACCACCGAACGGTGCACAAAGCGTACGGAGCAGTCACCGTGATGTGGCTTCTCGCTGGACTCCTAACACTTCCTTCAGCAATTTTTAGAACCACCGTAGTCCTAGAATCAGTCACCAAGTGCCAGTTGAAATACAGCTCCAACATCAGCCATGAGGCTGTGGTACTGGGTCGGTTCTTATGTGGATTTCTTGTTCCTTTCTTGATTATTGTGTTCAGCTGCGCGGTGATCTGTGTGAAGGTGAGTGGCTCAACCATTCGATCGAAGAGGCCTTATAAAATCATGGTGGCACTCATCTTGTCGTTTTTCTTCTGCTGGGTGCCCTACCATACCTTTCTTCTCATGGAAATGAACTTTAACAAGCACCGGGTAGATGTGCTTGTGGCTGGACTAAAAGTGGGGGCCACCCTGGCAGCAGCTAACGCCTTCATCTCCCCCATCCTCTACGTGTTCATCGGCAATGACTTCAAGCGAACTCTGAAGCGCTCTATGACGTCAAGGTTTGAGGATATCCGCACGACTGGATTCAATCACTCAAGATCCAAATCAATGGAAATAATTGCAACTCACACTATTTCCTGAAAAAACATTGTATTTTGATTTTCTTTAAGGTGATTTAGCTGTAAAAAGCACAAAACTTATATTTTGTACTTAAACTATTTGACAGCTTTTAATAATTTTTGCTATCCTTTGTAACTGAAACATATGCTGTGGTTGTAACTAAATGAATTATCCACAATAAATTGTTGTTCTATGCAATAAAAAGTAAGTATTTTATTAAAAGTCAATGTGCACTTTATTTATTAAGAAAATTCACAATCTTGTGGTTGTTTTACTGAGACGAACCAAAATATGCAAAGAATAAACACTCAAAATTTGTTTGTCATTTAATAGTGAAAGTATTTTATTCTCCAAACAAAACATAACTTAGAACTTGATTGAGAAAGTTTCATTGATAGGGGTCATTTTGTGTGGGTAATCTCCAGGTCTTACCCCAGATGGGTGCCAGTTTCCACTGCTCCTCCCCGCTTGGTGCTGTTACTAAAAGTTTTACATCAAAACATATCAAATATACTACTAAAATATTTCAGCATTTGCTCACTGGCTTGCTTTAAACCAAAGTTTACCAGAATACTAGGAGGAAAAAAATCCATCAAATGTGGACAATATAAAAGAGACAATAGTACTGCTGTCTAATCATGTTCCCCAAATCAAATTAAGCATAAGGCCTCAGACAAATGAAAATGATCATTATGGGTAAGAATCAAATCTCCAAATCCAAAGGCCCGGCTTTCAATCATACAGCCAGTCATAGGCTTAAAGAGACAAATTGGGTCAATAAGTAGTGCTTATCAACCACTGATTGTGTCATCCAGGACACATTACTGTGAAATTTTATCTCTGCCACCCAGATATTGACCTGTTAACATGTCATGACTGTCAAAAACCAACAGCCTTCCATCAGAGGCTTCCTCAAATTCTTTGCAAGACCTCCCTCTACTGGATGTTGATGATGCTCACATCATCAACATTCAGACAACTCTATGAAGATATTTGGAGGATATAAGTTACGACATTTAATTTTTCCCTCCGGTGTAAATAAAGTTTTTTGTTTTTTTTTATGAACTGAACTGAATAAGGAGTGTATTAAACTTGTTTAGGTCCTTAGAAATGACAATGTTAAATGGTAAAAACGAAAAAAACAGGACAAACGTAATAAAGATGGGGTCAGATCCTCGCTCATTGATAAGCACGCCCCCTACCGTTCAGACAAAGGAAGCTACCAGACCAACTTGCGGATGTGATGCAATCAGCTGTGAGTTTTTCCCCTACTCGTTACAATTATCAGCTACTACTTGGTATTTTACAAATAGCTTAACTGAATTAGAATTTGTCTTCGTTAATGTTTACGTTTTACTTTCATTTTTTTCTCTCTCTTGAACTCTGTCGTGCCGCTGTCCTTCTCGCTTGCTAACGGTTAGCGTAGCTTCTGTTTCCAGATGGACGCCAGCTGAGCTGAGCTAGCAGCTGGTGATTTTGTTTTTATCCCTCCTCCCAGCTCACTCTTCTGCTGCTTGTCAGCGACCACCCAATTCAGCCGGACTCCCCTATGAGTCTCATTCGGGGGTTAGCAGTGAAAGTTCAGTTGCAGTAGATAAATGGCCGCCTCTGCTCCTCCTCCTCCTCCGGCGGCGGCAGCAGCCGCAGCCTCTGGTTCTGCCCCGGCCGCTGCTGAGACCTCCAGTCCCGGAGGATCGAGTAGCTCGACCGCTGCCGACGGCGGCAGCCAGGACAGCACTTTTGAATGCAACATCTGTCTGGACACCGCCAAGGATGCCGTGATCAGCCTGTGCGGACATCTTTTCTGGTGAGATTCAACTAGGATGTTTGCATATTGTTGGAATCAGAGCAGAGTATTGACATGCTGGTCTGCTTTTAGTTAGAATCTAATAGAATCAAACATTTTGAAGTTAAACAATTTCTAGTGTTTGACTTCCATTGTAAATTTTCACAAAAATGCAATACAGGATTGTTTTCTTTACACTCTCTTTAAGAAAATATACCACTCATTAAGTAACACATTTTTGAAAGTTTCATCCTAATAAAATTATACATTATGTTTACTTCCAATTGAATGTGGCTGCATCCTGAAACAAAGAGCTATTTTTTAAATAAAAACACTAAAGCTTAAGCTAAATTCAATGTATTTTGTCTCACAATGTTTTTATGTCAAAGTCACATTTATTTGCATAGCACATTTAAGTTCTTCAAAATGTTCACCAACTGCCAGGACATAAAACGAAGAATAAAACAACAAAAATAACAACTCTGAGCACACCGAACACAAGTTGAATGGTCCTGATGAACCGGTAAATCTGTTAAAAAAAACAATTCTAAAGTTAACTTGTATATTTTTATATTTTTGACCTTTTTTTTAGGCTTTTTGCTTCTTTTTTTGTGCAGCGTCTTTATTTGTAATGTCGGGCCTATCTAGTTGAGAAGCGAATGTTTTTTTTGCTTTTGTAGAATAAAAGCAATTGACTAAAATGTATAAAGTTATTTTTGTGGTGAACTCTACAACTTAAACTCATTAGTCTTTAATGATGATAGCATTATCGGTTCATTTCTAAGCTGTCGCACTTTCTGCCTCCGATTGCTTTGTTTGAATTTTATTTAGCATTTTTAAGTCATGTATTTGATCAAAAGTATCGCACTCTTTCCTTTCCTGTGCTCTTTGCAGCTGGCCTTGTTTGCATCAGGTAAGCTGGATCTTCTTTGTCCCCTTCCAAAAACAACGCAAGGTTTACAAAATAAGTGGTTGGCTCAATAGCAACACTTCTTGCTCATGCAGTGGCTGGAAACCCGACCTAACAGACAAGTGTGTCCAGTTTGTAAAGCTGGCATCAGCAGGGAAAAAGTGATTCCCTTATATGGAAGAGGAAGCACAGGACAACAGGATCCCAGGTGGGTGCTGTATGTTGTTGACACAGGCACCAAAGTTTAAAAGTTGATATATTTTTGATAATCCGCATTATGACACATTGAGGTTAAAAATAGCATTAAGTTTGTGTAAGGCTCTGTCACACCAGATTGAGACTGCAGGACAGAGAGAAACTGGTGTGATACTTGGCCTTGTGCAGGATTAAATGAGCAATTTTCAGAAATTTAACTGTATATTGTCTTTCAAACTTTTTTTTAAAGAGAAAGAACACCCCCTCGACCTCAAGGACAAAGACCTGAGCCGGAAAACCGTGGCGTAAGTAAATGAGCCAAACACAATATGTTGTGTTCTTATTTTATATTAGCACCACTATAGTTTAGCCTTTATTTCCTAATTCACGCCAGCTGCTGAGGAAATCCACCCATTCATGATGAAACCCTTACATACGTCTGCTGCAGGGTGTAGCTGTGTTTTATTCATTAGCAGTCACATACTTCCCTATGGGATCCATTACACTGTGACAGTCGAGTTGAAGCTCCTCAGGAGAATCCCCACAAGTCTTGCATCTTATTGCGTCACATCTCACTCACTGTCTGTTTTAACACGTTTCTGATGACATCTCACAGGGTTTTCAGGGCTTTGGCTTTGGAGATGGTGGTTTCCAGATGTCATTTGGAATCGGCGCCTTTCCGTTTGGTATTTTCGCCACCGCTTTTAACATCAACGATGGCAGACCTCCTCCAGGTAGCGGCACATTTCACCCTGAGCTTTTCGTTTTGTGCGTCTTTTGAAACGACGGCACAAATAACCTCTGCTGACCTTTTTGCAGCGGCTCCTGGAACACCACAGCACACGGACGAGCAGTTTCTCTCTCGACTCTTCCTGTTCGTTGCTTTGGTGATGATGTTTTGGCTGCTGATTGCATAAAAGCTTTGGAAACTGATCAGGTTGTTGTCACTTCAGATTGGACAGAGATTTTGTTTAATGTGTTATGTCGCTCCTTTGAAATACAGTTGAAACCAGATGTTTTACGCATCAAGATGCTGATTTTTTTAATTATTTTTTGTCCTCGTCTTAATTTAGTGACCCAAATCAGACTACTGAGTAATCATAACATTTTATTCAAGCCTTAGATATTTCAATACTCATACGGACATTCATACTGTGTTTCCATTTCTATCCAATGGGAACATTTTAAGCAGTTTGTTCAGAAAAACCTAAATACTGGAAACTGCTAACCAATGATTAAAAATGGATGAGCATGCATTAACCCAGAGCCTGAGCTTGTAATCAGATAAAAAATCTTTTTCTCAAACAGTGTTTTGCTCCAAACTGTACAACCTTTTTCTTTTCTGATTTTCACTGTAATTAAATGTAAAATATTGTAGATTAGAGAGTTAATGAAAACTTGTTGAAAATGGAGGTAACTTTTCTAACTGAATTTCCTCTGACAGTAAAGCTTTATAAATAAGTTATGACTTTTTCCTTTGTTTCTGTGTCGTTTTATTACTACTCAATCTCTGCAAAAGCCATCAAATAAACACACAAGTCAAAAAGCAACATTTTATTTGAAATGAAATGCATGTTGAAGAAAAGATTTATGAATCTCGGAAAGAAAAATAAGTTAAATTTGAATCGATTCTATGTGTCTTGTGGCACCTTTTCCTGCACGTTAAATTCTGCTTCGTACATTATCTGCTGAATCTTCATTTTAGTCTCGCACCTTTTCTGTGGGGCCAGTCTCTTCAGAGCTGGAACGAAGCTCAGCAGAAACAGCTCATCCTCGTCCTGCCGCATCCTGGCGGGGAGCGGCCCGCCACCTTCCTTCACCAGCCACTTATTTGACAAGTCTGTGCTTTGAGGAGACGCCGACTCCGGCAACAAAGTCCGTTTCCGTCCAGTGTTGCTGGTGGGGGTTATCTGGGAGACGGGGGGCATCTTGGCCACCATGGCCAGCTGAGTCAGCTCTGTGTCCTGAGACAACGTGGGAAGCTGTGTTACGAAGCCCAGCGGAGCTTTTTGCTCGGACGGACTCGTAGAAACCTTTAGAGAAGTCTTGGTCGACTCTGACGAAGCGGTGTCTCCCTCACCACTCCCGGATTCGTGGTCAAGGTTGTGGTCGTCACAGTTGCCACAGATGTCCGTCACTCCCACTCTGGATCCGGTGAAGGGGGCGATAAAGTTCATCAGCTGTCTGTATTTCCATTTGCTTTGTATAAACTCTCCCTGCTTTTTGCCTTTGAGCTCCATCCGGACTTCCTTCAGGTAGCGGTCTCTGAGGTTTTTCCATTTCCTTTTGCATTCATGGGCTGAAAAACAAGATTTCAGAGTGTAAAACTGGAACATCGCCAAAACTTTCAAAGATTTATGACACATATAGTGAAACATTTTAAGCCTTTTTATTGTTTTCAATGATCACTGTGTTGGCTCACTCAGTTTTCTGAAGTTCACAGTCAATGCAACAGTCTACCCTAAAATTTTAGAGGACTCAGTGCTTCCTTCTGCTGAACAACTTTATCTAGATGCTGACTATCTTCCACCAGGACTTGCTTACTGGCCACATTGCCAAATGTGCCAAAAGTTGGTTCAACCTTGGTGTTAACTGCTTGATTGGTGAGAAAACTGCATTGACAGAAGCCTGTCAGTTTTGTGTAAATTATCCTTTTTTTAGTTAATTTTCAAACTTACAAGCCATAAAGCTTGGAAGTATTTAACTCGGTAATGAATTAATAGGTTTCACTTTCTGAAATAAGAGAATATATCAAAATTCTTATTCATAATGCATATTTTTATCCTTATTTTTAAAATGTTTAGATCGGGATTTCTCTAAAACACCTGAATCAAACTGACGTTTTGATTCAGCAGTCAATCAGTTCGTGTAACCAGAGATTCGTTTGATTCAGGTGGGTTGGAGAAAGGACGCATCTTGAAGTTGGAAAATAGTAAAGTGCCTTGGTTGGATCAAACCCTGTCAATGTGTTAGAAGTGTCTGGTCAAAATTCAGATCTGTATTAAAGAAGAAGAAAAAAAAAACATGCCAAGACTTGACAGCTGATGTGTTTCTCATCCTAAGAACAATTAGTTTCCTTTTGAAGATTTTAAAGCTAATTACTTTAACAATAATTACATTTGATCCAACCAGCACATATATTGGGTGTTTTTATTTATTTATTATCTAATTTAAAACTTTATGTTGACTAACTGATGTATAAAAAGTTTTTCAATTGAATTATTTATCAGCATTATTCTAAAGTTGGATCTTCAAAAATAAACAAAACCAAACATTATTAAAGAAATTTTTTGTATATGGTTTATAAATATATTTCAGTTCTGCACTCTGTTGCTTTTGACTTTGCGCACTTACTCTGGGGTTGGGCCCTCCATTTGTCCCGCACTGTGTGGCATGTTTAACAAACCGAGGCGTTTGCTACTAGAAAGGCTTTTCCAGCCTTTCTAGCAGCAGCTTCAGCAAAGAAAGCGCCCGGAATCGCTCGAAGGTCGGAGAACGCCGCGCGTCCATGCCGCTGAACAAGTTCAGTGCCGCGGCTAGCTCCGCGGTAGAGGCACGCGGCGCCGCTCCGCTTCGCGCAGCGCGGCCTGCGGCGTGGGAGCAACGGCTGTCACCGCTAGCACGGCGCGCGCGGCTGCATCAACGTCAAAGTGGACCTAGCAACCGGGATAAACGTCTAAATCACAGCGAATCGCCAAGTTCAGACGCGTGAAATACTTCTGCTCCCGTAAACAACTGGCGCCTGAGTAGACTCCCGACGCAGATGCGGCTAAGCAAACAATAACTGGAAGTAAAGTTGCATAAACAAATACTCACATGGGTAACCAAGTGCCATACTGATGTTTCTCCAAGCGTTTATGCGACTTTCCGTACAACGGTAATTCGGTAAAGTGACATTGTACAGTTCCGGGTAATTAAATACAGCTAAAATTAACTTATCTTCCATTTTGCCCTTGTATTTTCTGTTTCTGCTACTGTTGCGCGGACGCGGAAGCGGCAAGCTCCTCCCGCCTTTTCCGCCCTTGCTGCAGCTGCTCCAACGCAAGTTATCGCGAGTGGCGGACAGCGCGCCGCCCGTGTCGCTCTGCCGTTATAGAGTTCTGACACAAGGGGGCGCACCAGTCAATTATCTTTTAATGTAATAACGTTTAACCCAGAACACACACTAGCTGTACAAAACAGACATTTAATATGGGTTATTTAATTACTTTACTGCATATAATTGTACAGCGGTTTATGCTTCTTTTTTAAATTACTAACTAAATGTTTCAGAGTGGTTTAATAGAAGATGCATAAAGTGTTTAAAGTGGAAAATTGCTTTTAGTAATAAATGACCATTTCTAATTTCTAAATGGGATTATACTCTGGGGGTCAAAAACTCTGGCGCTTCTTCCCTTCTTTTGTGGCTCAAAATGTAATCTTGAATGCTACTTTGTCTTAGCATTATTCAGGCCTGAGTGAACTCCAACCACTGAATACAAGACTAAAAAGCCTAAACGTTTCAGAGCATCGGCCTGTAAAATGTGACAGTTTAGAATTTTATTGAAAAGTTCATTCTTGTGCTGTGCAGGCCAAACATGTTGCATTTTTACACATCTGAAATACAGAAATGTAGGGTAAATAGTGCTAGGAGCAGCACAATCAAAGGGAAAACTGCTGTTTTAATAGTTGCCCAGCAGACATGAATGGCAAGCCACAAAGTTATCTGATAAACTGTTGTTTGTTGTCTACATTTTATTGATTTTCTACAGCTGTTTATGTTTACTTCATAAATCGATTGCACTTGCATTTGTTCTATTTTAAGTTTGAAGAGTTGTTCAATTGCAGCATTACATTCCATTACGTAATAACATTGTCTGCTTCACAGGATGTAAGTCATTCTTGTCTTGTGATAAATCAATTAGTTCTAAGTGAGTTTACTCTTCAAATGCACCTGGAAGAAACCCATGAAGACGTTATTTCCAACATAGCCATTATAATTCTCTTCACTTTACCAGATGTACCAAATATTGCTTACAACAACAATAACACGAGCCTTTATAATTCTGATCCCCTGTAATGAATTTTGAACCCTGTGGACCTACACGGATTTTGGCGCAATTCCTTCTATTGAGAACCACAATAACCTAAGATAACAATCTCGCACACGGCGCATACTATACGTCAGCCACCTGAACGCTATTAAACCCAGGTGAAAAGGATGGGAATGGTGTTTATTGTTATCTGTTTTCAAAAGCCCTTATAACAGGTTGGAGCTTAAGACAGATTGTGGAAATCCGTTAATTCCCTGAAAAAAAAAAAAAGGAGATGTATTGCCTGGTATGAAATCACAGGATTTGCTGGGAGGGAGATGAATTTAACCAGTAATAGCTTTACCTCTGCTGTGCACATTGTCAGGGAAGTCAAACTGAAAAGACTGCAACACAAAGATAAGACACAGGATGTATGATTGTGAATATAAACCACATTGATGGATATATTCCCATAAAGCTGCATCTTTGTTGCATCTTTATTCAGATTTCACCCACTCATCCATTATAGTTTGTTAAATGTCCTCTAGGAATTGGTTTGTGTAACTTCTAGAGCAAATCTACAAATGAATACAAGATCATTTGTCATTAAAACTGAGCATAAGAAGCAATATGAAATTAATTCAAAGGCTAATCCTTAAATTCATCATACACAAGCATGAGACCACACCAAAGGTGTCCATCTATAAGTTCAGGTTTCTAATACCAAGCAATCCCCTTTTCTCTAAAACCTCAACAATGAGGATTTCAGGAGCGCTCCACTTTTCATTTTATGCAGTGAAATCTGATTTCGCTTGAAGAAAGGAATGAGGCGAGATTAGCCGAATCTGCCGTCCTCCCTAACCTCTTCACAAAACTGCCCAGATTAGCTAAGAATTAAGTTTCAACCGTTTTATGTGTCTGGTCCACAGGGGGATTATAGTTTTACTTCCATCTCTTTTTCTTTCTTTTTTTTTTTTTTTTTGCCTATAAGGGCCAGACTTGCTCTAGTAGAAGGAGTAGAAGCAGAGGAACCACTGAGGGGGAAGTATCAGAGAGTTACAGGCCTGGTTATCATTACTGCTTTTGAGCTCAAGGAATTTCCTTAAAAAAATGAACAGACACATCAAGATGGAAAGACAAAAGTTTCCGTTCACCATTGAGAACATTCTGAACAAATATCCTAACAGTATTGGAGACAAACAGCCATGTGGAACAGGGGTTTTTGGACTGAAGGACAAGATGGTGTGTCCTGAGCCTGTTCATCACGCCTGCCTGTGCTGCTGTTTCTGCTCCCACTGTGCTGACATGCTGCACTCTGATCTCATCCATGACGGTAAGAACAAACCATCAACTGTCTTTGCATAAAGTGACTATGGAAATTCAGTTTTATGTTCTGAAACCCTGAAGGCAACACTTCGGGCGGGGTTGTAGATCATAAAGGTAGACTCTCAAGCTAATACAGGTGTTACTAGTGAAGACTTTATATGCAGATTTATTTAGTGAGGATAAGGAAGTCAGAAGACTTAAAAAACTAGCACCCAAGTGAGAAATTTAAAATCGTTCTCCAGTGAGAACGAATGAAACTGGAAATCAAAACAGAAATCCTGTCAGCATTAATGTCAATATTGTAATTTCTGCTCCAGTTCTGACCAGTATAGTAATTTTGAGCCTTGTAGACATTGGTCAAGTTTCATTGTAATCCACATTATTAATCCACATTATAACCTTGATGTCAAAACAACACTGCCAGGCTGTCTAAAGTTCACTCACTAAAGGCTGTTTTTCAGAAAAAACACACCTTTATGTGGTTGTCTTGATTTATAGACAGTGGCATTCCTAATTTTAGTTAATAATCCATGTAAGGTAGCGTTTTTCTGTTTCAGTGGGTATGACACAAAATGATCTTTTCAGTTTAAGAAAAGTGCATTTGTCATTTTCATTTAAAACTATGATGACATGTGTGAATCTTATTGCAGCCTGTCAGTACGGATGGAACCAAGCGGCTATGATCTCAGAGACGTGCCGGCTGGGGGAGGCTCACAGGGAAGAGCAGCAGCCTAAGGGGGGGCAAGTGCAGAGGCGAACCAGGCGTCACCGTACAATTTTCACCGAAGAACAGCTGGATGCACTGGAGGAACTGTTCCTGCAGAACCAGTATCCAGATGTAAACGCGCGAGAGAAACTTGCACAGCAAACTAACTTAAGGGAAGAAAGAGTAGAAGTAAGACAGCAGCTGCATGTGTTGCTAATGCTTGATGAAGAGGTTTCACTCTCTTTTGATTATGTGGACATAAACAATCCTGCCAAACATTCCAAATGAAGAATGGGAGGTATTAAATAATAATTCTGCCTTTTTTCTTCCTGGTAGGTTTGGTTTAAAAACCGAAGAGCAAAATGGAGACGTCAGAAAAGATTGTCATTTGTAGTTGGAAACACTGAAAACTAATTTCTTTATTATAGATTTACAGTAACATGAACATTTATGGAGACCTTAAGTTATATTTTTGGCTCACGAGTCAGATAAATAGCCAAGTTTATGAACAAAATAGATCTAATTTGATCAAACAAACCTGTATGAAGAGACTAGCAATATATGCTAATCTTTTGACATTTGATATTTGATGGTTGTTCCACATATCAAGAATGGAGTAACTTTTTGTAAAACGGCTTCTTGTTATGTGATGAAGATCTAATAAATACTTTCATGACTCTATTGTTTGTGAATAACCAATGTAGATTTGTCCTACAACAGAATAAAATTGTTTGTAAAAGTTGTTTGTAATTTATATACACAAGGGCAGGAATACGGAGTTTTGATTTACACTCCTTACTGGTTGGTGGCGGTAATGCACCATATTGGTGTTTCCCAATCGCCATTGAACTGTAGTAGTAGAAGAAGAAGAAGAAAACGACGAAGAAGACAACATTACGTAATTACGTTGCGTGTACGGTGGTGTACGGTGTCGTAATGGCTAAAAGTTAGATGAAACGTTATACTTAGCAAGGCTGACTCTTCTTTTAGTCTTTGTATATTTATTTCCTTAACTTTATTTTAAACATATTCTATTTTTGAGTTGAAATACGCCCTTTGGTATCATTTAGAAGTCGGGTTTTTTGTCGCAATAGAGTCGCCGTTAGCCTTTGAGCTAAAAGGCTAACAGGCTCCACAATGGAGGGAAGCGCCAGTGTTCGGAGAGCCTTGTCCGGGACTCTGGTTCCGTCAGCGGTCACAACCGTGGCTCTGTGTCAGCCTGAGGACAAAGAGGAAGGAAAATTTAAGAGAAAAGTTCTCGATGAAGAGGATTATATTCAGGTAAGTACCTCAAGACAAACACCGATTCAGAGACGAGCTTGATCTGAAGATGTAAACACTGTAAGCTTCTACGTATTTCCAACGTTTTGGCGTACAAACTTAAAGTTATAAACCTATAAGAAGCAAGAACGGGATGTGTTTGCACAATGTTCTAATCGTTATTTGATATTGGGCAGCTATTTTGCTATTTTCTGTCTATTTTTTATCCGGAGAACATGTGCAACACCAAATAAATATAATAAAGCAACAGTTTCAGTTTTATTCTATGCTACTAGTCGTGCAGAGATCAGACTCGACCAATTTTCTTTCTTGAACCACATGGTATTTTGATTGACTTTACAACGACATCAAGATGTTTCAGATTCTTCGATGTATAAAATCGAGATGATTCTTGAACTTAATTTTGTGCAACATTCACAACTACTGCCCCTTTTAAATAATTTGGACAGTGTTCTTCTTAAAGTTGGTCCAGAATCAGAACTGTAAGGTCATGCCTCCAAGAAAACTGGAAATCAGTATGAATCAAGAAAAACCTAATTAGTAAATTTCTGCTTAATGCTGCAGAACTGTTTTATGTTGCCTTAAATTTGTTTTTTTTTTCTTAGCGTTTATGTCTTCTTTACTTGGCTGCTTTTGACAGAGCTTGGAGAAAATTATCCAAAGGGACTTTTTCCCAGATGTCACCAAACTTCAAGCACAAAAGGAATACCTTGAAGCGGAGGAAAGCGGAGACCTTGTGAAGATGAGAGAGATATCCATTAGATACGGCTCATCATTGAACAAATCTACACCGCAAACCTCTGCACCTTGTAAGTAGAAGATTTCCAAATGAAATTAGTATTTATTTTACACTATATGATATTTTTGGTTCAGTTTTTTTGAGTGATTTATTTCTATTCCTTTTCTTGGCAAAATGCAAGATTTGACTCCTGCCAGTTTTGAGACACCAGTCGGTCACTTGGGATCGCCATCCTCCACTTTTTGCAGTAAAAGTTCAGATTTGGGTAAGTTAAAACAAATATGCTTAGTTTAATTTAACACTGTTGATGTGGAAGTAAATTCAGCAGATATATGTGTAAACTAGAGTAATTGACCCATCCATTTGTTGGACCATGTTTCTGTAGAGAGAAAGGATGATGACAAAGAAGAAAAAGAGCTGCCTGGTCTGGATCGTTTTCTTGCTAAAAACACCAGTGAAGATAATGCATCCTTCGAGCAGATAATGGATCTCGCAAAAGACAAAGAGAAACTGAAGCACGCTTGGTTATATGAGGCAGAGGCTGAATTTAAACAGGTTGGTATTGATTCTTGGCTGTTATTTTCAAAACAATTTAATGAGATGCCTCATTGAAGTTTTTTTTTTTTCTGGAGACATTATTTTATTTCATTATGGATGATCTGCACACTTTGATATTTATGAGTTTAAGCAATCATAGCAATTTTCCTGTTAAATATTGTTTTTTGATGTCTCAGTTTCAGATGCACACATATCTCACTCAAATAATACAGACTGTTGATACTCCACTGCTCTCATCAAGTAGCACCATCCCCCATGTGAAGCTTACATGTGAAAAATCACAATATCTTGAAACTAAGTTGAAACTGCCTCAGATAATTTACACCGTAGCTTCAGAGGTGTTATTTGGGAACAGCTTAAATTAAGCCACCAGCCTCCAGTGTGATTATAGCATAAGGTGTTTTTGTCGGCTTACAAGTTTTAGCTTAAAGTTGCATCACAACAACTCTGAGGCCTGTAGGGGTTGCTTGTTTCCACAGCAACATTAATCGTGTTTATAATGCTGCCATGAAATTAAATCATCTACAGGAAAAAATACATATGTGTGTGTGTGTGTATATATAGTTGAATTGAGTTAAAGTATGTGCAGTATGCTGCACCTGAATGGTTTTGCAGTGTGCTGAGACACATAGTGCTGCTATGCAGCTGCATTTGGATGTTTCTAGTACATTAAAGATCAGAAAGGAAAACATGACTGCTTTTGGTGCATTCATGGTTTACTGTAGAAAGAATGGAAAAGACTTAAATCATCTGTGATCTTTTTTGCAGCGCCACGAGGAGAACCTCGCCCTCCCGTCAATGGAGAAAGCCGCTCTAGAATGCGTTAAAGCTGGACTGGAAACGTGGGAGTACAAAGCAAAAAATGCCTTGATGTACTATCCAGAGGGTATGAATGTTAAACTGAGAAGACTGTTTCATTTTTTAATTAGTCAATTACCCTTTGACTCACACAAAATTTTCTAAAGTGTAGCATAAAATGTTTGAAGATTTTTTTTTAACTCCAAAAATGTCATTTTTACTTTTATCTTAGGTGTTAAAGATGATGATGCGATCTTTAAGAAGCCCAGAGAGGTGGTGCACAGGAACACTCGGTTTGTTGGAGATCCGTTCAGCAAAGCTCTGAACAAAAGTCAGATTCAACAGGCTGCTGCCCTCAATGCACAGGTACCTACAATAACGGCACAGAAACCTTGTGTAAAAATGAGATTAAAACCAGAATATTTTGTTTGATATTATTGTTTATATTTTAAAAAAGCAAATCACATACTCCTCCAGGTTCTGCTAAATATTATTAGTTATAAAAATTGGATGTGTAACATTTATATTGGGATGAGTTCTGCTATTTTGGGTTCCAGGACTTAATTGTTTTACTTGAAACAGGCAATTTCTTCCAAAAGAAATGTTTACTTGAATGGTGTTGCTTATGAATTATCTTTATTTATTTTAATTTTCTTTTTGCAGTTCAAACAGGGTAAAGTGGGCCCTGATGGGAAGGAGCTAATACCGCATGAATCCCCAACAGTGAATGGATATGGCTTTGAAAGGACTCCATCACCTGCCCCTGGTGAGTGAACCTGCAAATCATTCAGTCCTATGAAGCAATTGTGATTAATCAATTATTGAAATAATTGTCTAACTTACTAGTATTTGATTAAAGGTTAATTGGAGTAAACAGACCCTAAAATATACCACATAACACTCTCAAAGTAGTAATTATGCAAAACTGTTTAAAAAATTACACATTTTACATTTAAGATCAAAACTTTCTTTAAAAGTATGTTCTATCCAGAATTCATAAACTTCACCTGCTTTACATTCTCTTATTAAGCACCTTTTGATGTCCAGTTATTAATTGGTTAAATCTAAAAAAAATAGTCAACAGATCATTTTTTGCATATTTTTTATATTGTATAAAATAAGCACAAGTGTTTAAATGAAAAATCTATAATCAATAATAATCAATTGCTAAAATAATTGCTGCCCTACTTTGAGGTTCATTCACTTTTTAAGTTCCCTCTTTTCTATTTAATTTATCCATTATCCAAACTGATGACTTCCTACTTTCATACTTGTGTTTGCTCAACCATCTCTTTGAAATTGATCCTTGGTTTAATGAAGCATATTTTATTGTTTGCTCTGGTTTTCTAGGGGAACTCTTTTGGATAGTTTCATGCAAATGAAAATGTTTTTTACTTTTCAGGAGTTGCTGATTCGCCTCTGATGACCTGGGGAGAAATAGAGAGCACACCGTTCCGTCTGGATGGATCAGATACGCCATATGTTGAGCGAAATCATGGCCCATCATTCAAGGTTAGAGAGATATCCTTTTTATGTCTGGGATATTAACGTCTAATTATTTATCTCGCTACATTTTGATGCTTATTGTTGTGTTCAAAAGATTCCCGAACCAGGACGAAGAGAGAGGCTGGGTATAAAGATGGCAAATGAAGCTGCTGCGAAAAATCGTGCAAAGAAACAGGAGGCATTGAGGAAGGTTACAGAGAACCTTGCAAGGTAAGGAGCGCACTATCTTTGTTAAATGTTTCCCTGATCTACATACTCATGATGAAATTCTCAAAAATAAGAGAAAATTTTTTCTACTTTGCAGTCTTACGCCTAAAGGTCTGAGCCCGGCCCTGACGCCCGCCCTGCAGCGGCTTGTAAATCGGACTTCAAGCAAATACACAGACAAAGCGCTGCGGGCAAGTTACACGCCGTCGCCCTCGCACAGAGTCACCCCCTGCAAGTCTCCCTTTGCCGGACCAGTCACTCCTTCAGGAACGCCAACGCCCACCAAAGCTAAGACGCCGAGCGCGCAGGACCTCACATCCCTCACGGACAATCTGCTGCAGCTTCCCAAGAGACGGAAAGCCTCTGACTTTTTCTAAGAAAAGCTGCTCTAAGTTCAAGAATTTAAAAACTTCTGTTTAAAAAAACAAGTGTTTATTAAACTTATGAGAAGACGATTTCTCCAAATAAAGGACAGCTAGAATTTCTAATGTCCTGTTGCTAAATTCAATGGCAAATATGATTATTAGTGTCTCTGTGAAATGCATCTTGTCCACTTTTCTCAATAATTTCTTTCTGAAATGGAAAATTTGAGAAATTATGTATTTATTACGATCTAGTGTGGTTCTTAAAACTTATACAAACACATGGGATAATAAAGCAAAGCACAATATATCAGTGTTTGTTTCTGTTACTTCAAAATGTTATAAAATGTCAGACTTTTGGATTTTTACAGTTCAAAATATAAATGTGGTCATTTTGTCCAGTATCATTTTTGGTGCAATTTTTACATCAGCACATTTAAATCAGTTTTATAGTGTGCAGTATGTAACATCGCAGTATTTTTTACTTTTTTTTTTAAAGCCAAAGAAACTTACTTTGGCTTTATGCATCTTTATAGGCACCCTTAATAAAGATGCATATTAAACTAGAAAATTTTGTGTTTCCTGCACAAAATGCACTGTGAATGCTGTAAGCTGAATATTTTAGTGAAAATTGCAGAAGCACAACTACAGAAGACTTGCAGAAATGTAAGAAATAGGCAGAAGCAGCAGAATAAAGCTGCTTCTGCCTGCAAAATGCAAATAGAAAATTTGAAACTTTCAGTCAATGCAAAGATCCTGACCAGAAAGTACTAGAAATTTGTGCAGAACACTGTTTACAAAGCTAAACTGTAAGGTCATAACAGTATGTTAAAAAGCTAAAACTAGCTGAAATACTATTGGCCTCTGGGTTAGGACCATTACCTTTACCTTCAGTAACAACCATGTAGTCTGAAAATAAGACATGTACAAGCTAAAATCATCTAAAAATCTAATACTAGCTAATATAATAGTGAGAGCATCTAGGCTAGTACAGCATGTTGATTTACAGTAACATACTCAAAGGCCAGTTTATCCTAATTGCTTAGGGGCCAGAGCAAGAAAGTTGTTAATTTACCAAAATAAAGTGAATCTAAATCGGTGTTTTTGGTTCTCATTAGATGTAACATTCATCTGGTTAAAACAAAGTTTTGAATTTTGTTATGAGAAGCTGCTTCTGAGTTTATTTCTTCGCTCTGTCTGTTAAATGCTTCCATATAAAGGGGCTCCCAGTGAGTCCAAGTTCTCACTGTTTCATCAATGACAACACTCAGATAGTGTTGATGTTTTTGCTTCAATGTTTTAACCAGACTTTTTTTTATAAGGTGTAAATCCCATTTTAACAACAATATAAAACGTGTTATAATTTGTTTTATATCTTGTTATTTTAACCAGAAGAGTTCTCATTATAACGCACAGAACCTGTCAAATTAAAATCCTAAAATACAGCAGTGGGCCCCCGATGGTTCAACTCCCTTCCACCGCCTCTGGAAGCAGCGTTAAGAGTGGCTCCACCCGGCCCGCACATACACAGTGTCTGTTTGGGTGTAATCTGGCAGACTCCGCCCCGGCAGCACCTCCAGCTGACGGGTCTGCCTGTGAGCTGCTGAATGTTTGGAATTGTTGTGATGGGAGGCCGCAGCCATCTTGGATGAGCGCCGCTCCGCACCAACGGTCGACCGTGACGGCGGAGCAGCCAGTTAGCCAGCTAGCTAACGATAGCTGCTGCTCGGAGAGATTAACCTCGCTTCTTATTGCGACTATGCTGTATTTGCGCCTTGTTTGGTAGTGGACGCATTGTGTGCGCAAAAAATGGGCACACGTAGTTTTAAACGGTTTGCGGGTAAAATTTAGAAACGGGAAAGGCGCTGCTGAACCTCGGTATATTTTTTACATTTCTGGATAGAGGAGTTACTATGAATGGAGGATAAATGTTGCCGAAGGCTGACAGCAGCAGTTTCGTCCTCCTCTTCTCTCTTCTCTTCGTTCTCACGCTAACGGACCCACCACGGGCAGGTAAATAAACCCAACTTTGTTTATTTTTTGGCATGTGTTCCTGTTCCGTTTGGCCGACAAAAAAAAAAAAAAAAGAAGAAGTGGGAGAAACGGATTTTACAGCTGCAGGTCAGGCGCAGGGGCCTGTTGGTCAGACCTGGGACTCTGGTAGTTTTCAACCTGTCTCCCTGCTGCTGTTGTTCAGGGTGCAGCTCCCGCTAGCTGTGTACGCAGTACCTGCATTTCACTCAAAAACTAGGTCACTTGCAACAGCCAGCAGATATGCATTTAGTTAAATACCAAATATTAGATTTTATTGTTTTTGTTTTTTATTGGTATTGTTTTTAATCAAAGATGCTATTAATTACACCTTTTATTCCTTATTAAAATGGTGCACCCTAATTTAGTTTAATTAGTTAACTTAATCACTGCAATCCTAAGTTGGTCTCCCTCATCTAGTCTGTAATTTAAAATGCATGAAAGGGATTCATCTTCCTCCAAATAAAGGAGGAAGATGAATCCTGGCACACATTCATCTCCACCATTAAACACAACAGACTTGGCAGAAAAAATACTGACAATTGTTACTGCTGTCGATAAAGATGACTTGGTCAAGAGAAAACCCTGTGTTGCAATACATAAAAAGCATTACAGGAAAACCACAGACATTAAAAGTATTCTAAAATAGGTTTGCTATAGACAATGCACCACTTTACTGTAATACTACGCTGTTATCTGTTTAGATGTCTTTTTTTTATCAAGGAAGTGTAGATTTTTCCTCTACCAAAAGCATATATTGGTGCTTTGAATGATCTTCTGTAAAAAGCTTTGTAAGCATCACAACAGGACAAATGCATCTGTGGTTTCCTTCAAGCTTGGTCTCGTGATCCCGCCAATTGTGTGGATTAGAGTAACTGTTATCAGTGGAGCTCAAGGATAAACTCATTATTGTTTGGCTCTAACCAGAGGACTGACCTTCGACCTCGAGAGCAAATCAAAAGGAAAACATGGTTTATATTTGTATTGTGGGTATTTATTTGACAGCTTCTTTTTAGTTTGTAATCAAATTAGGTTTGTAGAAGGGTTGAAAGATGAGTCAGAACTTTGCTGTTGTATTTCCATAGTGTGAAGGTCATTTTGTGGATGTTTCATCAAGATGCCTAACGCTTTTGAAAACAATGTGTAGAGTTCACTCAGTGCATGTTTGGAAATGGCTGCTGGTTGTTTGGGTGATGATATTGTTCAACGTCTGTCACTGTCGATTTCTTTTGTCTTCTTGAGCTACTTGACCAGGATTTTAACTACTGAAAAAGAAACAAAATTACTATTGATGTAATTTAGGTGGATAATAAAATTATTAATAGAACCTGCATTAATTTTTATTAAGCAATCATGCAGCCATTCAGCATTCATACATTTTAACACTCATTGCATCCTTATTTTTACAAACCAAATGTATTTCACAACACAGTCTTACTTAGCATTGTGTAATTATTAGCTTAATTTAATATTTAATAGTGCTAAGTATACTTTCAAAATAAGGAAACAGACTTTCATAAGTCAAGTATAAATTAAAGGGAGAAAATCGAACGATAAACAATCTTTTGTGGTCGAACGATGGAAGCAACGGTTGCATGTGCATCTTGTATAACACTGCACACTGTGTTGTAACCTTGTGCAACATTGTGGTAGGGTTTGGTACACATGATGGGCCTCTCGAGGGTTTCTGAGGTCATTTTCATGACCTCTGGTTTGCTCCAGTAATGTGGAGAATGGATTTTAGCATTAAACCGTGGCTGGCTGAAATACCACAAAAGAGTTTGTTCTGGCTACTTCAACTGGGGTGTTATGTTGGAGACTAAAATAAAATAGTGGACTGAAACTTCTCACAGTCAACATATTTTAAAAATAACCGTTTGCTGAAGTTTTCTGTGAACTTAAAATAGACAGAAGATTTGTGATTTCCTCATTTGAAACATGAAAAAGTTCATTTCAGCTTCTTGTCTGGCATCATTTGCAACACTTAGCTTGTTACTTACAGAAGTATATAAACAATTTCAGAGCGTAGTAATTAATTGTTAATATGAAATATTAAACTGTGCATAAAGATCACTTTGATATTTGTCTGTTGGGGTTCTCTGTGTGGTTGGGAACAGGTTTTGGATTGCGTTATGCCCGCCATAGAAACCTGTAAAACACTCCTGATCCTCTTGACATTCCTGACTCAAATTAAGACCTTTTCTTAAAAAAAATGAAAAAAATCGAATGGCTGTTATGGCGTAGTGATCTAATGTTTACTCATTCTGAAACGAGGTGAAAACGGATTTCTTTGAGAGAGATTTCTGTGATTATACCGTCTCAGCTACTGTCTGGAATATAATTTTATACATTTTTGAAGTTTCAGTTGTTACTACCTCTACTTTTGCACGAACAGCTGTAACATTTCCTCATAAAATGAGGTAGTCTAATGGTACTATTTACCATTTGCGTTCATCTAATCAGAACTGAAACTGAAGTCTGTCTGGGAAAAAATGATCTTGTTAGTCCATTAAAATAGCAGAAGTGGCAAAAAAAACATTTTACACAGTCAAAACTGTTTGCTTTGGTTAGTTTTTTAATTTTTTAATGAAATTCACCCACAGAGCTCTTATCTGCTCAAAGATGGAATTAAATGTGAGAAGATGCAAAGAAAATACTTGCCTGTACCCACTCGCTGCTCTTAACACAAACCTCCAGGTTGAATCATCGGTGCGGGAGAAAGCTCCTGTACATTGCCACGTTTTTGTTCTCCATTATCAGGAAACACTGGGCTGTAAATTGTCTACACATCAAAAAAAAAAAAAATTCTAAGTGAAAGAACACCGGTATTAAATGTTGGTTGTTTTTCACTCTTGTTTGTTTTCGCAGAGTGAGTTTCTGGAGGACAGCCTTGATAAGCCCTTCTAACACAGAGTTAATGACGTTAATGAAGTGACTCAATGTCCTAACAACATGTCTCTACAGCTTACTTCAAACTGGTGTTTGCTACGGTTTTTGTTCGAAGCGTTGAGCTGAATTTCAAGGATAATTCTGGCATTTTTATTCTCCCTTTTGACGTTACCGTTGATGATTTTCCTCAGAAGGTTGCAGTGATGTTCCATATGTGAGCACAGGGGGGGATTGCAGGTCATTTTACATGTGAAGCTGAAACAGCCAGTACAGTCTCTCTTTCACTGTGAATATCAATGTCGAGGCCTTATAACATATTCAAGTTGTTCAACACAGTAATGTGCACTTCCTCAATGCATTTCTGCAAGCTGTGCACATAAAAATGAGCTGAGTTTTCAAAATTGACCTTGCAAAGCATGATCGTACGACTCACTTGGTAACACTGAATGTGGCTTATATGCGTCCACAATGTGGATCAGAACGGGATTAGGAAACTAGGATATGAATCATTAAAATAATCTGTACTGATATCTAGGATGATGAAAATGTAAAAAAAAAAAAATTGTTGTTGTTTGGCTTTGAACTATTGATTTATCACATAATACTCTAATTTCATTAAATGCAGTCTGGTACCTTGGGGTTGCATTGGATCAGAAAATCTTGAAAATATGATATTATTGTTGAATATCACTGTGATGTTGGTTGTAATTATTATTATTTATTTTTTATGCTCTTCATTTCTCTATCATTGCAATACTAAATCATCAATTTATTATGCATCAGCATCAGGGGCAGTGAGTTCCCCTATAGCACACAGAGCGTAAAATATAATTGCTTATCAAATATTGCCCCAAAGTGTGTCTCATATAAATGATGAAATTGAAGAACTCCTTTGTAAGCTTTTTTTTAAACAAAGGGTTGAAGAAAGATTCAGTATTTTAAAACAAAAGTCCAAAAATGTCTACTTTCTGCCCACTGCCTGAAACAGATTTACTCAACCTTTTATGGTTAACTTTTATCCCACTCTATTGTCATAAAATGTATTAAATACGCAAACTTCAGTTGCTATTCTAAAATAAAGAAAATGTAGATTAATTAAATGTATTCGTAAGAAAAAAATAATATTTATATAGCATTTATAAGACAAAATTATGAATATGATAAAGGCCTTATAACACATTTTTTTGGGGTGTTGTGTGTTTTTTTTTCTAAAAGCTCCTCTGTCAAGCCTTAAATTGTTTTTCTTTTTATACAAACATTGTGTCGGAAAAAAATTCCTCATTTGGATTGAGATTCTCCATTCTTATTTCTGGAAAATTCTGAAATGGGCATAATAGCTACACACTTAAAAAAATAAATGTTTTAGACTGAGAACATGATGATAATTAAAGCTGGTCTTTAGTATCTGATAACTTAAAGCATCTATAAGTTCAACTTGACAAATTCCATCTTCACCCTTGCAGCCCTCCCTCCCCCTTTTAGACATGCATATTTAATATTCCTCAGTGATATATTTTTAAATCCATGGCTTTTAATGTTATCCCTGCTTGTTGGTCATGATGCATTAAGTCCCTGGAAACTTAACACAACCCTGCAATAGGATACATCTCAATCCACTTAGTGTCACTAAAAAAGATGTTTTAGCAATCTTAAATGGTTTCTCACAGAGTACAGTGCTGGTGTAAAAAGCTACGTCTAACAGTCTGCATTCATCCAGAATATTTTTTTTTTACATTTTACAGAATTTTTAGCATGTTTTTAGGTTAGGTGCAACAGTTTTGGACAAAAAAAATAACTATGTTTGATTGGGTTTTTGAGGCTAGGCAAATTAGGTTTTGTTCATAAGTTTGCAACACAAACTCCATTAAACTTACAATGCAGTGCTTTATTTGAATTGCATAAAATTTTAACTGGATAGTCATATTATTATTGTTTGTTTTTATTTCAGGTCCACGGCTAGCTCTGGCAAGATTATTGTCAGGTAAGAAAACCTTTTTTTTTTTCCTGTACAGTTGAGTTATCGTTTTCTAAGAAAGGACCAGCAGCCACAAAACGTTGTTTTACAAAATCGTCACACTATTTTCTAATTGGGGAAGTTTTGTCTAAAGTCCCATGTTACCCAACCCCTCTAATAGTTTTCTGAGAAGAAACTTAAAGGTCACATTTGAAGTAAAAACATGAAGCAATGAAGCTGGAAAGATGACGGTTCAGTGCCTTTTGTCCTTATCGAATGTCATCGGCTGTAGAGGTTAAGTTCTGGTCAGCTGAAGTCTTGAGGCTGTTCTTTATGTTTTTTGATGACAACTTAATAAGAACAGTATTGTTGTTTTTACTTCGGTGGCCTGATCTTGGCAGTATGACGAATGACTCTTTGGAGCACATTGCCTTAGCATGCTGTTTGACACAAAACAGATGTCTGTTTAAAAATGTGCAGACAAGATCAAATTTCTCTGCAGATTATAAATATGTCTTTTATTATCACTCTTGAGAGATTAACATCTGAAGAGAACATGAGAAGAAGGCTGAGTAGTTTCTAAAATAGTTTGCCCCGTTGTTGACACCTGTCTTCAGCCATTTTAACCATCATCATCTATGATTTTAAATGCTTATTTTGCTATCTTCAAAGTTCTTCATGCATATTTTATGTCCCTGCTGTGTTTTTCTTCTTCCAAAAGGTGTTTAAGTTGCACACATTTAACAACACGACCCATCTTGCTGTGTTTCAGAGCAGCGCTGCAACACTGGGCAGTTCGCCTGCCGCAGTGGGAAGATGCAGTGTATCCCGATGTCCTGGCAGTGTGACGGCTGGACAGCATGCGAGGACAAAAGCGACGAGATGGACTGTCCCCGTAAGTTCGACTCCCATTGTACAGCCGTTCGAACACCTGTGCTTCTGGAGCTTTGATTTCTCTGGAGGTCTGCAGCACACAGGATGTTTCAGACATAAAGGATCAAATCACAGGCGAGCAGCTTTTAAAAAAGAAATATGGCTGCTCCTATGGTCCCTTCAGGATGTAGAGAAATTGCTTCAATCTGTATTGTGTTGTGCATCTTGACAACATAAGGGCACATTTGGTGTATTCTTCCCTAGAGTTACTGTTTACACTTGCAGTGAGTGATTAGTATCAACAAACCTCCATATTCCCCAAAAAGCATTGATATCAATAAACAAACAAATCAGGACTAGTGCTATAAAAACAGGAGAATACAGGGTTAAAGTCTCTGTTTTTGTTTACCATTGTGTTGATCCCCTCAGCAGTAGATGTTACAGAGCTAAGCCTTTTGGCCAAAATCCTATTGTTTCCCCCTAAATCCTGACGTCTTATCCCCGGATCCCTGATCGCATAATAGGAATTATTATAAGGATTGAGTACAGCATGTGACCTCCATAAAGAAGTAGCTGTTCAGGCTTTGAGTTAATGCTGGTGGGTTACACCTGATTACAGTTTCACACTGGCCCCTTTTTCATTCTTCAGTAAGGCTACAAACTCCTGAAGAGGAAGAAAATATGATCACTTTTTCATCTTCACATCTAACAATACACCTGGAATTCAATACTTTTTATTTTTAAGACTTTATAGTTGGTGTTCAGGTATTAATCTTCTCGTCTTCAATTACACATAATTATCAAGTGATATTTTCAAGTTTCCTGTCAACTTTAAACATTTTTTAAATCAAAAACAGGATGGGCGGCTGGATGAATGACTGCCCCAACCACCTTCGGGCTTAGTGAGTTTTCTGGGGGAAACTTTGTGCATACTGGATCTTGAAGTCAGCGTTTGAAAGATTCTCAATTCTCAGCAGGTGTTCCAGTTGACTTATCAGACTCAGAAGTTGGATTATCGCATTAACGTTGTAATCCACACAGCTGTAACCCAGACTGTTACATTAGAGAGGCATGATTCATTCTTCCAGAGAACTTTCCCCACTGCTCCAGAGGTCAGTGGCAGCGTCTTTTATTTCACTCCATCTGAAGCTTTGCATTGTAACGATTGGATGCAGCTCTCCATGAAGCTGTTCTTGAGTTAATCTGAAGGCTGCATGGCTTGTGGCGGTTTGGAGCTGTGGCCTCTGGAGAAAGTTGGTGATCTTTGTTTGGATTTTGGTGCCCGGTATGAACTTATGTATCAAAGGAAGTTCATGCTTATTAAACATCCCCTTTAAGACACACTAACTTTTCTATTTTGCACTTCTGAAGGAACTCTGCTCCTGTGAGTTTACAAGTGACCTTTAGTTTGCTGCAAAGTAATCATTCGGCCTCTGGCTCCAAGAAGAGATAATGTGTTCTTTTGCTTCATGGACATTTTTTTCCTGCACCGACAGGCAAACATACTCAGTTTCTCCTGATTTGCTACCACTTTGATGGCCTCGTTGAAGGAGGAGAGTTTGTTGTGTGTAGACAATGCCAGACTTCTTCCGTCTGTCCAGATCTTAATCTCATTAGACTGCTAATCATACTTAGAAGAGGCTAAAATCTGCAAAGCTTTCCAGCTGCTTTTCCTGAACCCAGATCTGGGTCTTCCTGCTTGATCTTTTGACTCAAAGTTGATCGATTTGGGTTGTGTAATTATCTTGTTCTTTGTTCCAGAGATCATTTGTGTGGCTTGCAAGTGCAACTGACTGATAATCAAAATGTTTTGCAGTTATAAAGGCGGAGAGGTTTCGCTTTGAGAATGGATACGAGAACGTTGAAGACGTCATCGGCGTGGCTCAGCCCGTTCGCTTCAACAGTAAGCGTCTCTCTTTCAGCTCAGCGCTCCTGTAGCTTTATTCACTGCACCTGTCAAAATGTCCTCCGTACTTACAGAGAAGTGTCCCAACGGCTGGCATCACTACGAGAAGACGGCCAGCTGCTACAAAGTCTACCTGAAGAACGAGAACTACTGGAAAGCCGTGGATACGTGCCAGAAGGTTAATGGCTCCTTGGCTACATTCGTGACTAGCGAAGAACTCCAGTTCATCCTGGAGATCGAGCTGGACTTTGACGACAAAGTGTGTGAGCGCAGAGAACAGTGCACGTGAGTTGATGTTTACTTTCTTACCTCGGGAACATTTACCTGAAGTTGATGCTCTTAGGAATCTATTGTTCTGACGACTAATCAATTAATTGGATAAAACTGGCATATTCTGCAGATTTTTCATTGACACTTTAAATTTTTGTTTTAAGATACAAATGTATAATTCAGTTATAAGAAAAAAAACATTTTCTTTCTTAAAATGCAATATAGCGTCCATTTAGTAAATTTGAACCTAAAACTTGAGGAATTTTAATTTCAAAAACAAAGCTGTTTATGTCTTAAAAACAAAATGTAGATATAATTTACTCTTAATTACGGCTGTGAATGTTTTTTCAGCAAACTGTGATAATTAATTGAGTACTAAATTAGTACTCAATTCACCCTGGTTAATCGTTCCAGTCATTACTGACAAATTCAGATTCCTGATATGATCCATAAATGTTTGAGCAAATGGACTCTGACCTGATACAGGGATAGCCTGCCATCTAGTGGTGAAAATGTGTCAGTTCATAAACCCAGAAATAAGTCCTTGCCTCAGCATGTGGTAATATGATGCATTGTTTCCAGGTTTTGGGTGGGCTATCAGTATGTGATCACCAATCGAAGCCACACCTTGGAGGGCCGTTGGGAAGTGGCTTCCAAAGGTAATAAAGGAAGAAAAGTTGAATAGTCTCTGCTCTGTGATCTGGGTTGGGTAGTAAGGATGTGTTGTTTCCTCACAGGGTCCATGCAGGTGATTTGGCCGCCTGAGGGCCTGGAGAAGTTTGGGGAGACTTCTCCCTCTCAGGACAACGTCTTCTGCGCCCAGCTGCAACGCTTCCAGAGCAAGAGCATGAATGAGCACGGCCTGCACAGCTGGGACGCCGAGAACTGCTACAAGAAGTTCCCGTTCCTCTGCAAGAGGAGTATGTGCTCACTCTGTTTGCTGCCAGAGATGTCTACCATCAGCTGTTTTATGAATATTTCTTTATTTTTGGTTACTCTCTTCACAGGGCAAACATGTGTGGATATAAAAGACAATGTAGTAAATGAGGGCTACTACTTCACCCCGAAGGGGGACGACCCGTGTCTGAGCTGCACGTGTCATGATGGGGAGCCGGAGATGTGTGTGGCGGCGCTGTGTGAGCGTCCGCAGGGCTGCACCCGCTTTCAGAAGGATCCCAAAGAGTGCTGCAAGTTCACCTGCCTGGATCCCGGTACTTGTGCTCATCTTTTGGTCTCTGCCGCTGTGTGTTTTTACAAGGAAACTCTGGATATTTATACCTGTTTCTGCAGAATCTTAAGTGCTACAAAATTTGCAACTAGTGTACACTTGGCATTAATACAGTCAAGGGCTGATTTGTTTATTTTGGGGATTAACCAATTAATAATCAAATAGAAAAACACGAATTGAATGGGACATTTTTTTCTTTTTTCCAACAGCATTTGAACCAGTTTGAGCCAAAACTATGACACTTAGGGGTTTAAAGTAGAACATACTTACAGACAAAGACTGTTTTTTAATCTTAAATACACAATGATTATATTTTCAGTAGATTTTTGGCTTAATTATTACTTTCAGAATGTTGTTCTTTCAGCAAATGTCTTTTTTTGGTCCCTATACTTCAGTTAGCGGTTAATCAATTCTAAAATTAGTAACGACTATTTCAATAATTGATTCTTAAATGCACAAACGAGAGTCTTATTTTGTGTTTTTTCTTTTCCCTCAGATGGAAGCACTCTGTTTGATTCGATGGCCAGTGGGATGAGGCTGATCGTCAGCTGCATCTCGTCCTTCCTCATCCTGTCGCTGCTGCTCTTCATGGTGCACAGACTTCGCCAGAGAAGACGCGAACGCATCGAGACTCTGATCGGAGGCAACTGTAAGCCTCAGCCGATCAATATGATGCCATTTAGTTTAATCAGAGGAATTGGGATAAATAACACACTATTTATAATCCTGTGATTGATTTGCAGTTTTGGCTTTTAATAATGCTGAAATCTCTAACAGCTTTGATTAGCGAGCATCTTCTAGCGACAGCAGTCACATTTCTCGTTTTTTTTTTGTTGTTTTTTTCTCAGTGCACCACTTCAACCTTGGTAGACGAGTGCCGGGCTTCGACTACGGCCCAGATGCCTTCGGCACCGGTCTCACTCCTCTGCACCTGTCTGATGATGGCGAAGGCGGGGCTTTTCATTTCCAGGAGCCGCCTCCGCCGTACGCCGCCTACAAATATGCCGACATCCAGCACCCAGACGACCCTCCTCCTCCGTACGAAGCCTCCATCAACCCAGACACCTTCCTCTACGTGGACTTCGGTGAGGAACGTCCTTCCTCCTGTCCGGCTAGCTCGTCATGCGAACTGTAGAGCTGCAGCTAGCGAATATTGCAAAGATTATTCTATCGATTTATTCCGACAATATAATTTTTAAAAATTGTCACATTCTGCAAAGCTTTCATTTAACCACTTAAGCTTTTTTTTTTGCCTAATATGAGAAATACTTTTAAAAGGTGCAAATAAACATAATATAGCATTCTTTTAATGAATTAGAACCAGGTGAAGTTTAAATTATGTCACTTGAAGAGTTTTAGATGAAACACACTGAGAGACAAAAGTGTTTTTATCTTAAAAGTACATATATTATGTTCTGTTTTGGCTTAATTATTGCTCTGAATATGTTGTTTTTGAGTCTGTATGCCCAGTTAACAATTAATCCATTACTAAATTAGTTGACGATTATTTCAATAATCTGATGGAAATATCTTTGTACACTTTAATTAAGAAATACTAGAGCTTATTTTAAGTTGTTAAATACTGGTATTCATATGTCATTAATAACTTGTCTTTTTTCATCAATATTAAGAAACTATTGACTTAAAATTAACTTGTATTTCTTGCTGAAAGGTGACTTGTAAATGATTTTAGTCTTATTTCAACTTGTAGCAAGATATTTGCACTAGAAGCTAGACCTGCAGGATTACTCTGTAGTGTTTCTGCTGTGCATGTTTAATGGTTTGAGCTCTGATCGCCTCCTCTTCGCTCTTCATCGTTGCCTCCAGGACACAGCGGAGTCTCTGTGGTGCCGAGCCAGATGAACTCTCTGGGCGACGGGCTCGAGGCCGAACATCCGACCTCCCCCGCGCCGGCGCCCGTTTGTGTGCCGTCGTCTCAAGAGAGAGAGGACTCCATAGACAGCAGCACCCTCCTGGTGGGCCCTGACACGCCAACAGATGGCCACGCCCCTCTGCCCGCAGACTGCACGTCCTCCCTCAGCACTGTGGTATAGGAGCGAAGGACGGCGCCGCACCCGGATCTCACTGGTCAGAACTGCAGGCTGTCGATGTCGGCTGCAGGGAACAGACTTGTATTTTGTACAGACGTATAAGAAGGAGCGGCGACTGTTTTCTTACAGCAGGGCTTTTCCTTCTGAAGACAAAGTGTTTGGTTATGTTTGCTTTTTGAAGACACTGGCATCGGAGGGAGCAGCAAGGACTGATTCTGTACAAAAAAAAAAAATCATCCCAGTAATCTGACATGGCTGCACTCCTTGTTTTGTTGCTGAGAAGCAGCCTAATTGGGTGAAACCCATCTGCTGTAAATGCTCCCTGAGGTTCAGACTTCATACCTGTGTGTTTCAGTCCCGCACAGCATCAAACTACCAACCCAGCTTTAGTTGCTTGTACGCTTTTTGTTGCGTCACACTTGGAAACGGCAGCGTCTTTACCGATCTCCAAGCTACTGTAACATCCACACTGTCTGCTGCAGCATGAACCAGCGCTGATGAAAACCTTCATTTTTCCAATCCGATCTAAGCAGCCGTCTTCCAGATTTATAGCACAGATTTGCAGAAGCAGATGTTTTATAGCTCAGAAGGTGTTTGGTAGTCTATTACTATTACAGTCAGCAGACTGTGTTGATGCTGGTTGTTATCAGTTTGGTGTTACGTTTGTTTATTAATTTATGACTGCAGGCTGTAATTTTGGTTGCTTGTTGGAAACGTGTAAGCTGATTTTGACCAATGATGTGACAAAAACCTGGTTACTGTATGGGGAACGATTAGAGATGAAGGTGTTTCATAAAAGGAAAAAAAAAGAGATTTTCTCCAACTATGAATTAAGTCATGCTAACATTCAAATGATGTATTATTTGTGGTTGAGCCGTCGTGTACAGTCGTCACGCATTGATTTGTGAGGTAAGCTCATGGACTGTCGCTTCCTGTCCATCCCAGAATGTGCCAACCGGGCGTGGGCTGGCATAAACGTTTTCTTGGTGACACGATTTTAGTAAAAACATGTATATAAAGATATTTTCATGCAACTGTGAAACAAAAAGGCAGCGTGTCGCGTGATCTTACTGGTTTAATTAAAATCATACCTTTCTGCATTGGCATGCAGACAAATATTGACTCTCCACTCTTAAGACTTGACCAGTTTCAAGAGCAAACTCATTCTGAAGTTCATAAATTAAAATGATTTACAAACAACCTGATTGGTTGTTCGTATAATCCAAGGACAAATGAATGAAAGAGTATGATAACAATTAAGTACCTTTTGGCTTCTAGACCCTCTTAAAACATGTGGTTTTTAAAATTGGCCTTTAGATGCCAAAAAACATTAATTACATTGATTTCTGGAGATGGATTAAAAGCTTCAGAGTCTTTATTTCATTACATCATATTAATGCTCAATTTAAAAATCCATATGTCTATTTGACTTTGAAATGGACATAAGTTTAAGTTTCCAAAAATATAGTGAACTTTCTCGTTAACACACTGCTGAATTGTGAACCTACCAAATAACAAACCTCAATCTAGTCAATGTTTTGTTTTTATTTACTGAAATATTCAGCCTGTCATAAAACCTACCAGGAAAAACAATTAAATTTGAAGTGTAAACTTTGTAGTAACCATGAGTGGAGAAGGTTTGAGCTTTTTGCCCAGTTTAAAAACTCAGAAAACTGATCAATGTCAGCTCCATCTAGCCTGCAGACGGCTGCTTAACGTACAAAGCTAGATAACTAGTTCCAAATCAAAAATATTTCCAAACAGCCTGATTTCTTGTCCCTAAAATCCAAGCCCCAGTTTGGTTCCTCAGCGCCTCTGGCGTCTTATTAAAGGGAATCCAAACGGGTGGCCAGCCCATGCCTGCGTTGAACCTCTGCAGAACATGATGGTTTCTGCAAAACTGTTGCTGTTCTTGTTTTGTCGTTTTCTCTCTTTGATGAAATGTGTATTTAAAAAAGAAATCTTAAGTTTGGAGCACATGAGACGACAATCGTTGGATTCATTCCAGGATGGATTTGACGCAGTTGGAGTTTTTTTTTTTTCTCTTTTTTTTTTTTTTTTTTTGGGAGTTTCCTCCATCACCACCAGCAGCATCCAAACTCATGATCCGCCCCCCAAAAACGGCTTAAAATATGTCTCATGTTTGAATGTACTGAATATATATATATATATATATAATACATGACTTTTTGTGCTCATCTTTAACTCATTTCTTTGTTTTTATTTTCTACTTTTTGCATCGACAATCCACAGTGGATCATCCAGCAATCAGCCATGTTTTCAGACGCTGCCAAACGCCAGCATGTGTGTTTAACAGATGGTGTTCAGTTCTGTTTGCACCATCTTTGTTTTGGGTTTCTTCCTGCTTCATGTACCTTTCGGCGCATGTTTTTTTTTTTTTTTTTGATGTGTTGGCATGCCGAGAGGTAATTTTAGCACAACAGTGTACAGTAGATTCACAGGCTCATACATGTAGTTCAGCGTTATGTATGAACTGAAAGCCAAGAGGGGAGTAGGGGGGATTGTAATGCAACTTATGCTACATTTCATTGTCTCTTATTTGACAGCCCTTAAATTAAAAACGGGGGGAAAAATAAAAAGCTTGTGTTTTTCTGACAAAGATCTACATCTAATCTTAATAAGCTGCACTGCGAAATCCGAGCTGGGACCACGATCCAAACTTTTATGCTGGACAGACGCGACATTGATCCTCTTCCATTTTTATTTATTTTTTGTCCCTTTTTCGTCAAGGAAATCCCTCCACCTGACCAAATGTCAGAGATTTAAGGTGGAATGCAGGGAAATCCCCCTCCACACCCCGACCCAAACGGTGAGACGGGGGGCGCCCGGAGGCTTAGACGATTTGAAGGAAGCGAATGTAATGCAGCTCAGAGTGACTCATACGGCAGCAGGCGGAGCGGAGAGAGTGATACCCAGCTGGAGAGTGTTGTCTGGGATGAAAGGAGACTTTGTCCCCCCAGGTCCCCGCGGAGCGACAGAATCACAAAATGTATTCCTGATGAAAGAGACCCAAAACGGCTCGATCGGGTTCGAGACCAAACTGGAGTCAAATTATAAAGCTGAGCATTCATTGGCTTGTTTTTAAGGATCAGAAATAATAATACAAAAAACATTTTTCTTCAGACTTTGATAGTAAAATTAACTTTTTAATGTTTTTTTTATTGTATTCAAGCCTTGAGAATAAAATTGAGGGTTTTATTTCAACTTGCACAATAAAATTACTTACTTTGATATTGGAGTAACTTTAAAATGCTGTTTTTAGTCAAATTAACTTTTTAAATTCATATTTACTTTATTGAAGTCAAACTGAAAGTGATTTTTTTTTTTAATGGATCATAAAATAAGTCTTGATTCATTTATTTTGTTGCATTTGAGCAATGAAATTAAAAAGTATTATAATTTTTTAAAATTATGTAATGGGATCAATTTATATATATATATATATATATATATATATATATATATATATATATATATATATATATATATATATATATATATATATATATATATATATATTTGGACCCTAAAATTAGCTTTTTAAATTTATCTTTATTGGAACTAAAATGAAATCAAAACGCATATTTTCTGACCCTCTTCTTTCTGGATATAAACCATGAAATTAAGTATTTTAATTTCCTTATGGTGCTGAAGGCATTAGATTTTCTTACTTCATTTAAATTATTGAATTTAGACCATAGCATTGAAATGTTTCTTTATTTTTGTTTGTGTAAATTTTTGTGTGCTTGTTTTAGATTTGGACCATAAAATTTGCCTCATAATTTTAAAACTAAACTAATTAAAATGTTTAGTTTTTTTAAAATTATTAAATTTTTTCGCCATAAAATTACCTAATTTGATTTATTTATCATTTTATGACTATAGCTTAACACGGACTGTTAAAAAAAAAAGTATTGGATTTATTGGATTAAATAATGAAATAGTTCATATTAGACCATAAAATGACGATGTAATTCAGTGCGTTTATGTCTATTTAGAGCATCAAAATCACTTTTTGCGCACGTTGATAAAAGCACGACCTCTGGCTCTGATGAATGGGTCTTGTTACTAGTCACTGAGCATCTCCGATGGCTTCAGGGAGGAGGGGTGAAGCCGCCTCGCATCAATGAGGCTGTTGATCAGAAAGGACCACTGGACTGGCAATGACACGGTTCACTGATCAGCCCCAGAGAAAATAAAGCCCAGCTTTCCCCAGCCGCCCTCGTGGAGCCGGACGTTCCTGCAGATCCGTCTTCATTCTACCTCAACGCACCGAGACGGCCGAGCCAGCATGCAGCGGAGCGCGGCTCTCCTCACGCTCCTGCTCCTGTGCGCCGATTCACGTAAGAGATCGAGTCGATGTCAGGAACTTTGCTTCTGGTTAATTGAGTTTGAGGAAACATCTGGTTGATCGTGCTGGTTATTTGTGTCTTCCAGAGGATTATTGCTATGATGAGCCAGACTGTGGTAAGTAAACCAATCACCATCAGTTTGGTTTCTTTTTTAGCTGCTTTGTGTCTAAAACTTTTTAATTCAGGACGAAAATTATAGACGATTTTAAGCTTGTTTTACCAAAAAACATTTTATCTCCAATTAACTAATCATCTCAGCTTCTTATTAACCATCTTCTGTAGATTTTTTCATCTCCTCTCAGTTAACAGAAACTTTCAGATTTATTTCAGCGCGTTTCAATGTTGAAACTGATTTATTCATTTATTTTTTTTATTTCCTCAAACCACCTTGTGGTTCTTGAAGACGATAAAAACCTATGAATGCATGTATGCTCAAATATAGACATAAACCCTCCGAAATATTTGGTTAAATGTTCTTTAGCGACTGGAAACGTTTGTTGCTATCAAATCCTAGGTGTATTCAAGTACGACCAGAAATGCTCAACAGAGGCACCAGAATTAAAAGCATGTAGTTTTTCTTGGTTTGTATTTATAGTTTTATGTTTTTAAATGGGCCTCATGTGTCCCCTTTTCTAATGGTGCCCTGGGCAGCTGCCTATATGGTCACCACTATTTCCTTTTGAAGATTTTGACTTAAAGTGCAGTTGAATAATTTGGTCCCATAATTTCAGGTTTGCAAGCAAGTTTGAAGGTGTTGATTTTAGGAGAAATGACTTCTTTCTTATTTGGCGCCGTTTTACTCAGTGTTGATGCTTCACACCTCCAGGTCACCAGATTCAGCCACCAAGGCCGAATCCTGATCAACCGTATTTCATCTTTGTGGGAAATGATACGAAAAACGCATCCAAAGCTGTTCTAGAATGACAATTGACAAAAATCTGATTGATTTTATGGAAAAGCTCTTATCCCAATGCTATCAATAGCATATTTCTGAAAGTATAATGTATGTTAAAGTATAAAAGGTATACTTGTAACGTTCAATTTCAGAGAAAACCTGCATTAAGCTGGTACTTGTGGACCATATTTTTGTTAACATTTATTGGCTACACATGAGGCCCACACAGGTACAATGGCAAGAAGGAGGTTTACATATTATAGGGTTAGGGGTTAGGGTAGAGTTAGGGTTAGGGTTACTTTCCTTACTCTCTTTCTGCTTCTTGAAACACGTTTAACTTTTATCTTGATCTTGTTCTGGAGAGTCCAGTCGACTCAGTGATTCTCTCTTCACCTCTGCATCAGATCCATATTCATGGGGCGACTCCTTCCCTTCGTGTCACCCTCTACTCGAGCGCCACCACTCTCCCATCAACCTGGACCGAAACGACGTGGCCCGAAACGACTCCTTGGGGCCGTTGCGTCTTGAGGGTTTCGACGCGGTCCAGGCAGGACACTGGACGCTAGAGAACGACGGACACTCTGGTGAGCATCCTGCAGAACCTCCTCACCAACAGAGAGATCCGTGTTGGACTTGACATCCGTGTTGTGTCGTCCCCTTCCTCCTCCTCCTCCTCCTCCTTCAGTTTTGCTCCAGGTTGGCAGCGGCATGGCTGTGAGCGGCGGAGGTCTTCCAGATGTTTACCACACCATCCAGCTGCACTTCCACTGGGGAGGCCTGGCGACCAACGGCTCTGAGCACACGGTGGACGGGCGCAGATATCCGATGGAGGTACAGTATGGTCAGTAGGCAGCTCTACTCCGTCTGTTTCAGCGGGCTGCCGCGCCGCAGCCGCCCCTTAACGCCTCTGCGCCGGTTTCCGTGTCGTCCACAGATGCACATAGTCAACATGAAGTCCATCCACCCCAATGAGTCTGCAGCTTTGGACGATCCCACAGGGCTTGCTGTTCTTGGCTTCTTCATTGATGTTAGTTGATGCAACAGCTTCAGTTATAATGTGACTGCAGGTTTTGCATAAGGTTGTGTCTTTTGTTGCAGGTTGTTTATGCAGACAATGTTCAGTTTGGACACATTTCGCAAAAACTGTCTTCTGTCGCATACAGAGGTTAGAACTCACCATTTACAATCACAGAAAAAAACTCAATTTGACCAAATATTTTCAGCCGCGTTTCTAGTGCAAACATCTAAAAACACTTGAAATAAGACAAAGCTAAATTACAAAGAACTTTTCAGCAAGATACAGGAGCTTGTTTTAGGTAAACAGTTCCTTAATTTTAATTTTTATAAAAGTACTAGCTTCACTTTCAACAAGACATTTTTCTCTTCCTATCAGAGAAATAATCTGCCAATACTAGAGGTCCTTCATCAATATTTAGGGATCATTTACTTAAAATTTTTGCTGAAAACTTACGTGTGGGTTTGTTTTGTCTTGTTTCACATGCATTGAGATATTTTCACAAGAAACTAGAACAAAAGTACTTGGTAAGACTTTGTTTTTGCAGGTTTCTAACGTGGCTGTGCATCTTTTTCTCAAGGCCAGACGACTAAAGTGAAGCCATTCCCACTGCTGAGTCTCCTGCCAAAGCACAACATGAGTCAGTATTACCGTTATTCCGGCAGCCTCACCACCCCACCCTGCTCTCAGGCCGTAGTTTGGACTCTCTATGAGGTCCCCATCCACATCTCCTGGTCCCAGGTTGGTTCTGGTTCCTAAAACAAAAAATCTCAGGATTCCTGCCTGGCTGTTGAAAGAAAATGATTTTTCTTCCTCAGCTGGCTCAGTTTACCTCACAGATCTTCTCGACAGAGGAAGACGCAGAGCAGGTGACGCCTCTGCAGAACAACTTCAGACACGTCCATCCCACCTTCAGCCGCAGCGTGTCGGCCTCCAGAGACGCTGGGCTCCTCGGCGGGGCGGCCGGTCGACCGGTCCGGTCAGATCTGCTGCAGATCATCGTCCTGGCCGGTTTCATCTTTAAACTTTAACGCTCCTGTTATCCCACAGTGATGTCAGAGATTTCTATAAAAACCTCACTGGAAAGTGTCAGAGAGTCCTTTGTCTTTGTGTTGATGTTTTCTTTTAAATCTGATTCCTAGTTAAGTTCTTATTTTGTGTATTTTTACTTGAACTAGACCAAAAAAGGGGGCCTAGCATAGTAGAATGGTGTTCTAATTTATGTAGATTTCTCATTAGAGCAGGAGGTAAAGTTGAGAAAAATCTTCCATGAAATGGATGAAAATATTATATATTGTTGTAACCTGGCTCAAAATATTGTTGTTGTTTTTTGTTCTTTAATAACCAAAACCTATTAAATAACAAAAGCAGAATGTTACAGACCAAATCTCGTCATTTTATGACGATAAAGTCCAAATCTTTGCTCTGAATGAGGTCCAGAAACAATGTAAAATGATTTTTTAAAAATCAGTCAATATCTTCTAAAAATACTCAAATCCCTTATTATAATTGTTCTGTATTTCCCTCCCTGCTGAAGAAGAACCCAGCATGCCGCTGCCACTGCTGTGTTTCACTGGCAGATTTATGGAGCGCACAGCAAACTATTGTTTTCCCAACCGAGCTGCGGGTCTCTGCAGCTCCTCCACAGTCACCATGAACATCTTATTATTTCTGGAGAACATTTTTGCAGTTTAGCTTCTCTTGCATCACAACAATAAATACAAAACAGCTGTTGTATATTAAATGCTACAACAGTTTCACTTCAACTGGATCTCGCATAATAAATATATAATATATAACAACCAACCTGTTTAACAGATGCATCTGCTTTTGAAATCAAACTTTAAACAAGAAAAATTACATAAAATTTGACTTTAAAACATGAGAGAAAGTCTAAAGTTTTAAGTTTAACATATATGTTATTTAGTCTACGCATTGGGACGGAATAACATTAAATAACTTATTCATT